AGTGAGTATGAGAGTGGAGAGGGAGAAAATGAAAGAGAAAAGGTTTCACACCTTTGGACAAAGTTTTGTGAGCCTCCACATACTATTATCACAACTTTAATTTTTGGTGATTTGCTCATGGCCATGTCCTCAATCATATATGCACATTGGAATGACAATATGGGTGGGAAGAATATGCTTAATTAATAGTCCTTTTACAATTGTCTATACTTATAAAGTATTAATAATACTTTCATTTATACATTTGTATTGTTAAATTAATTCTCAATAAAATAATTTTATTATAACATTTCATAAATTAATGTTTTTTTTTTTTTTTTTTTTTTTTTTTTTTTTTTTAAGTATAGGTCATCTTAAAAAACCAAATATCATGAGACCAAAACATAATATAACGTAAACACGAGACCAAATAAACAATTCATTATATTAGTGTTTTTTAGTCTGTTATCTTATTTTATATTTTAATTTGATTTTTAAAATAAAAAAATACTTTAATATTTAAAGATGTTCACATATTCAAATAATTTGTGAACTTGAATTGATATAACACAAACACGAGTTAACTTAATATAAACGCATCGATTTAAATTTTTTAATTGTTTAGATCAAACTTTGATTCCTTTAACTCAAATGACTATTGATTTGAGTAACAAATTTATATTTTTAATGTTGGAACTTTGATGAATCAGAATGTTTATGTACTATTTTATTATTTATTATATATCGTCTAAATTACACTTTTGAATTTTCTATAACATTCAATTGTAATTTTGATTCTCTCATTTTAATTTTGTAGTTTTAATCTCTAAATTTTATAAAATTTATAATTATATCTCATCACTAAATATCTATTTATTAATCCTTAGAATTATAACGTTGATCATAATTTTTTTTTTCTCTTTACAAAATCTTGATCGAAATTAAGTAAATGTTACAAAATTAATGTTTAACTAAAATTACATTTTTATTCACTATTTTATCTTATTTTACTATTACTTGAGATAAAAATTGAAAATAAAATTTTCATGGTCAAAAATATAGTTTATTCTTATTTATTTATTTACATATTATTATTATTATTACTTTTTTTTTTATTTACAGAAACATGTAATTGATAGAAAAAAGTACACAAGTACATTTCAATTTAAATTGAAGTATTTTAATTGAATTAGAGGATAGACTTTCTTTTTATGGGTAGAAATCTATACTATTAATAAGGTAGTTATTCTACTTTTAATGTACATAAATTTTAAATTAGTTGATCTTTTAGAATCGTAACATCTTTAAATCACTTTCTCTTTCTAAACTATATTAATAAATGATATATTTTTCTTTTAGTATATAAAAATTTTAGACAAATTTATTTATATAATCACCTTTTCTTTTATTGTCTTTTATTTATTTATTCTCTCTCTTTTTCTATTTTTATTTAGTTTTCAACCACTACAATAAAATTGACTTTTAGTAGTATTTAATATGGCTTTTAGTGACAATGAAAATTGCTGCAAAATTTTTTACCAACATTTTCACATTAGTCATTGTATATAGTGTCAATAAAATATTTAATATTTTTGTGGTATTTTTTATTGACATTTCATATTTTTTGTTATCGCCACTAAAAGTTTAAGAAAAGATTCATAATATTTTTTAATTATGTTATCTCTAGTCGATGCAAGACTTTATGAGAGTTGTCTCTACTTATATATTCTTTATTTTTTTTTTTTTGAAATTATCTTATCTCCTAATTAATTATTTTATTTATAGTCGATATGGTATTTGGATTTTTTTCAATACACCCCTCAAGTTTAACATTATTGAGTTTGGTAATGGTGAGTAATTTGATACCAACTTAAAATAGTAAATTATAGATCTATCTCAATCCTACAAAAAAACTTGTAAGATGAGAGTTATCATCCACTTATATATTCTTTAATTATCTTATCTCTAGTCCACGTGACACTTAAATTTTTTCCAATAAATAATTGTCACTAATAATAAATTTTTGTATGATGTAAATATATTTTTAATGACCATTATATATTAGTCATTAGTATTTTTATTAAATAATAAAATAGAGACAATTAATTTATTATTATTAAATAATTGTTGATAATAATAAATATTATTATAGTGAATATTTTTTATCTTTTAAATAACCATTTATTATGTTTTTTTTAACAAAAACAAGATTCATTATGTTTTTATTTTTATTTTAAAAAAAAGATAAACTTTTTTTAATTATAATAACGACAATAAAATTGTTAGAATTTTAACTCTTCCAATAAAATATCTAAAAATAAGACTCAATTTTAAAATTACATATATGAATAGGAAAGAGTTGGGGTAGTTAAAAGTATGAAGACTTAAATTCAATCCTCATTACGACCATTTTTATAATTTTTTATCTTTAAAAAAAAAATACATGTATGTTACTTTTTAACTCCTCAAATAAAACGACTGTAATTGTTGAATTAAATAATTAGTTTAAATAAATCTAACATAACATGTTTACGTTTCTATTGGCTTATATAGTATATTTGATTGGCCAAATTAGTCAGTTTAATATTTTTTCTTTTTTTCCAAGGATTTTAATTTTAGCTCCTATGTATTATTACTACATAGTGCATATCGACAAATTGTTGGTCAAAATAGTTTGTTATTAATATTTTTATTAAATAATAAAATAAAGATAATTAATTTATTATTATTAAATAATTGTTAATAATAATAAATTTTGTTGTAGTGAATATTTTTTATCTTTTAAATAACCATTCATTATTAAAAAAAAAAAAAAAAGACTCATTATATTTTTATTTTTATTTTCAAAAAAAAGACAAGCCTTTTTTTTTCCTTCTAATTATGATAACCGCAATAAAATTCATTGTTAGAATTTGAACTCCTCTAATAAAATATCTAAAAATAAAATTTAATTTTAAAATTACATGTATTGTTACTTTTTAACTTCTCAAATAAAACGACTGTAATTATTGAATTGAATAATTAGTTTAAATAAATCTAACATAACATGTTTACGCTTCTAATGGCTTATATAGTATTTTTGATTGACCAAATTGATCAGTTCAATATTATTTTATTTTATTGCAAAAGATTTTAATTTTAGCTCCCATGTATTATTACTACATATATAGTGCATCTCGCAAAGTTGTGGGTCAAAATAGCAGTGTATAAATTGAAAGGAAGAGGAAATTTGGTATAGCTAGGTGCAACCTATAAGAAGGCACTTTAACAATTTAAAATAAAACTTTTTTTTTTATTTATAAAAAACCAAACTAAAAAGAAAAAGAAAATATTTAAATCTATGTTCTTTAAGATATACGATACGTTAACGAGCGATGTGGGATAAAGCAAGCTCTTTTGATGCAGCGTGAACAGAAGAAGAGGAGTTTCTGAGAAAAAAGAGGAAAATGTGGGAAACAAAAGACGCATTGTTACGGTGTTGCGTTGTTTCTCCATCGAAGATTCTGTGGGAATCTCTGAGAATAATAATATCTTTTTAACACATGGCACAACATACAACTTTATAGAAACATACAACTCTTCTCTAACAGCTTAACAACATAGTTTACTAATAACATCTATATAAATCACACACATCTACACACTTCACATCATGCTTCTCACAACTCACAATATTATCATCATGCACTTCACAACTTTCAACTATATCATCTCATCATATTTCACAACATAAACATGTCCACACATAACATATAACAACTTTATCAACTTAATTTCAACATGCTTCAACAATATCATAGATCAACACACAACTTGTAAA